TCAGCCTGGCCTGTGGGATTGGGTCAAAACTAGCTCTCTGACATCCCCACAGGGATTCCAGATTATGAGAGGGCATAAACCAGGCCAAGGTACTACACCAGTTCATGATCGGGGCTGCGGAGGGATGAGGGAGATTGGCCAGCCAGAGAGGGACCATGGGAGGGCTCCAGGGCATGTCCAACCCGTCTTTCTCAGTCCTGATTGGGCCAGACCCCAGAAGCAAGCTAACCTACTGGTGGGAGAGTCTGCCCCCTGGTGGTCAGTGCACATCATAGAGAGTGGTTGTGCAGCCTTAGCATATCATTAGCATATTACGTTTTGATTAATTGGCTGACCCATCAACCAGACACTTAGCATATTAGGTTTTTATTATATAGGATATTATTAATTTCAGAGTGAAAGGGAGAGGGAGAAAGAGATAGAAACATCAATGATGACAGAGAATCATCATTTGGCTGTTTTCTGTATACTCCCCACTGGGGATCAAGCTCTCAACTGGGCATGTGCCCTAATCAGAAATTGAGCCATGACATCCTGTTTCATAGTCCAATGCTAAATCACTGAGCCACACAAGCTGGGCAAGATAAATATGTTTTTCATTTTTCTAAAACTTTTACATACATTCAGTGTTTTTAATCCTGAGAGATATACATTATTTTTGCTTAATAGTTAAGCAGTGATTCCTAATATCTTATTTCTTATCATTGCACATAATCATAAAACCAACAGGAATGAGAATAATAGCAAATATCCAAGCCAGCTGTAAGATTTAAACACTGTGATATCAGCCGAGACCGGTTTGGCTCAATGGATAGAGCATCGGCTTGGAGACTGAGGGGTCCCGGGTTCGATTCCGGTCAAGGGCATGTACCTTGGTTGCAGGCATATCCCCGGTGGGGTTGTGCAAGAGGCAGCTGATCGATGACTCTCTCTCATCTATGTTTCTAACTCTCTATCTCTCTCCCTTCCTCTCTGTACAAAATCAATAAAATATATTTAAAAATAAATAAATAAATAAATAAAAAATAAACACTGTGATATCAGATGTTCAAAATGTAATTTTCATATAATTTTAACTTTGATCCCATTTCCTTGCTCACACCTTGGAGTTTTCTGTGATAAAAGTGATAAAGAAATATTTTTTATGTTAATGAGATAACTTTTGGAAAATAGCCTAAATATAGTAGGCTGGTTGTCAGGACTATCAACAATGTGAATAGAGGGTTGAAACTTTCTATCCCCTATACCACCACCTCTGGGAGGGGAGAGGGGCTAAAGATGGAGTTCAATTGCCAACAGCCAATTATTTAATCAATTATGTCTATGTAATGAAGTCTCTATAAAAGCCCAAATGGACAGGATTCAGAGAGCTTTCAGGTTAGTGAACACGTAGTGATCCTGAGAGAGGGCATGGAAGCACCATGTTCTTTCCCCAGACTGTGCCTTATGCATTAATTCCGTCTGACTGTTTCTGAGTTATATCTTCTTTTTTTGTTGTTTAAATCCTTACCTGATGATACTTTTAGTGATGAGAGAGAGAGAGAGAGAGAGAGAGAGAGAGAGAGAGAGAGAGAAAGAGAGAGAGAGAGAGAGAGAAAGAGAGAGAGATATCAATGTGAAAGTGAAACATTAATCATTTTCCTCTGGTTCTGCCCTGACAGGGAATCAGACTGGAAACCCTTTGGTGCAGAGGATGATGCTCCAAACAACTGAGCCATACCATACAGAGCTGAGTTATAATCTATATAATAAAGAGATAATATGCAAATTGATCATCACTCCAACACAAAGATGGCTACCCCCATCACAAGATGACCACCACAAGATGGCCGGCATGGGAGGGATGTTAGGGGCAATTGGCCTGGCAAGGGAGTAGTTAGGTGTTAATCAGGGTAGTGGTTTAGAGGGTGATCAAGCTGGCAGGCTGAAGAAGTTAGGGGCAATTAGCCAGGCAGGCAGTTGAGCAGTCCTGGGTTGTGAGAGGGATGTCCCTGATTGGAGAGGGTGCAGGCTGGGCTGAGGGATACATACATCCCCAGTGCACGAATTTCATGCACTGGGCCTCTAGTCCTTTTATAATTATCTAGTGGCCCTGTACATGAATTTGTGCACATTGAAAGGAAATTAATTAGAAGAAATATTTTTATATCGCTATTCACCCTTTATCTATAATAGAAGTGTCAACCAAATTCACGATCAACAATGAAAAATGGAAGCACATGCATACAATTGGTGCCAGTGCGAGCTTTATATGTGTTGCACATTCAAGAGTCAATTTAGCCTTTTATAGATATAAAACAAACTTACCTAATCAGACCTACTTTCTGATGTAGCTAAACTTTTACCAACCCAGTGAAGCACCTCAACTTTTCTTTCAGGCAATTGTCAGCAACACAGCAGTAAATATCAACATAAAACAGATTATTATTATAGATGATGTAGGGAGAACAAAGGGTAAAATATTTAACTGCAGCAGTATTTAACTATATTCTGTGCAGTGAGAAAACCTAAAGTCATTTTCAAGGTCCACCATTTCTTATGTCTTTTCAGTTGGGTCAAGTTTCTAAACTTTCTAAATCTCCATTTTCTGGCTAATGAAAAGAAAATAAGATTTCACTGAGTCGCCTATGTACCTACCCCAGTACTTCTGTGAGGATCAAATGAGAGGAGGCCTGGCAAAACATTTCACAGACATTTGATTGCAGGGTAACATGTTTCCACCTGGCTAAAGTGTTCCTGGGCTGAAGAAACTGTAAGGAGGCTAGTTATTGCTAGGGAGAGGAAGCTGGGGGTTGCTATGTGATGTCATTACCCAGAAGGTAGGAAGGACACTTAGCATATTTATCTTTTATACATACAGACTAGAGGCCTGACACAGGAAATTCATGCAAGAGTAGGCCTTCCTTCCCCAGGCTGCTGGCACTGGCACCTGGGACTCGGGCTTCCCTCATAGCTCCAGCTTCTCCCAGAAGGTCATCCGGTTTAATTAGCATATTGAGCTTTTATTACCAAAGATTGGTAATATTGAGAGTAAGCAAGTTTCCTGACTTCTGTGAGCTAGTCTATAAGTAATCAATCATGAGGAGCAGGTGTTGGAAACCTCTATTTTATATCCAGTTGTTTAGAAGTATAGTTAAGGACCTGGGATTGCTAGTGGCATCTGAAGAAGGGATACAGTCTTAACCAGTGGAATCTGACACTGTCTCCAGAATGAGAGTGTCAAAATTGAGTTGAATTGTAGGATATCCACTTGATGTCCAGAGAATTGTTTGGTGGTGGTGGTGGGGAACCCTCTCGCTTCATGAATTAGAATTGGGATCTGGACACATAACGTAAGGTTGTTTAAAACTCTTTGTAAGTGGATATTAGAAGTAGATAATTTATTTAGTGGCAGACTCCATTTTACCTAAGTAATATAATGCAGATTAGAGATGTTTTTTTTTTAAATTTTAATCTAATACAATCATGCATCACTTAATGAGGATATGTTCTGAGAAATTTGCCTTTAGGAAATATTGACATTGTATGAACATTATGGAGTGCACTTACACAAACCTAGATGTGTAACATAGACTATATGGTATAGCCTCCTGCATCTAGGGTATACACCTGAACAGCAAATTATTGTATTTAATACTTTAGGCAACTATAATTCAATGGTAAGTATTTGTGTATTTAAACATAGAAAAGGAACAGTAAAAATAATACGGTACAAAGATAAAACATGATACACTTGTATAGGGCACTTACCATTAATGAAGTTTGTAGAACTGAAAGTTGCTCTGACTGAGGCAGTGAGTGAACGGGGAGTGGATGTGAAGCCCTGGGACTTCACTGTATACTGCTATAGACTATATTCACATTACATTTATAAAACAGCATGAGATTAAATCTAACACAAGAGAAAATTATGCAAACAAGAGACATGAACAGGAGGTGTATGAAACTGCCATAACATGGTATTCTCTTTTACAGGAAACTTTTTGTTTAATAAGTAAAAAATAATACATCCTAAAAAAGATAAGAAGTATAGCATAATAAATATTTAAACCAATAACCTATGTATCATAATTACCAAGTATCTACTATACATAATTGTGTGTCTATACTTTTATATGACTGGCAGTGTGATAGATTTGTTTACACAAGCATCACCTCAAACATAGGAATAATGTGTTGTGCTATGATGTTATAATGGCTATGACATCACTAGGCAATAGGACATTTTCAGCTTCATTATAATCTTATAAGACCATCATCGTATATGTGATCCATCATTCACTGAAATATTATTATATGTTGTACGACTGTATCTTATATATAAGAGATGAATTTTATAAGAAGTCAAACACAGTGATGCCATTTGCTATGTTTTATTTTACTATTAGCTTGTTAAACATAACATGCAAATAATAAAAAAAGAAACATACATATGATTTAAAGTAAAAAATAATTCTAGAAAGTTTTTCTAGGTAACTAAATAAATTTTTCACACTAAAAATTCTGCTTTAAATGTATGTGGCTTCATGAATTTTGTTTAGTATTTCACAAAATCATTGGTCTCAAAATTTACCACCTGATTTTCAGCTAAACACATTTGAGCATATTAAGATAATTTGATTAAAGACAGTAAACATCCATATTTATGTATTTTATACTTTTGGGCACATTAAGTTAAGATTTAGAAATTGGAAAACTCGGCTGACTTCCACGCAAAGAGTAAAAGGCTTTGCACATCATTTGACAGTAGAGATGTAAAAAACACTAAATTTACAAATAAAGCATTTTTTGTTGTATATGTGTGAGCATGTGTCTGTACTTGTGATGAAATAGGCCTGCTTTTCATCTTTTCTGTGTAAAAAAATTAGTAAAATGTTTACAAAACATTTTTCCTAAGAATTTAAAATTCATGGAAAGAATAAACAATAAAAATGGACACTACGAAAACCAACATACAAAAATAAGATGTGGCTCCAGGATACACCTCAATATAACGGAAATTAATTAACAGTGATTTCATTTGCTACACGTAGGCATTCATACATATTAGCTGGAAGACTAGTATGGGTGATATTACGGTTGCCATCTAAGCGCAAATGCTTGATCTTGGAGTAGGAAAATGGTCCCAGGATCTTACAGAAGCTCTTTACATCAAGCTCTGAAAAATAAAGAATAAAATATTTTAATAAATTTTTTATTACCTGGCTTAAAATAGTCATTAATTTTTTCCCAAGTCTATAATAATAACTTATAGGATTTCTCCCCTCTCCCCCCCTTTTTTTAAGTCACTTATTTGGTGGATGTTTGTATTAAAAATTGCTAACAAAATATTTCATACTACCAAATGATACAAAAATATTTAGTAAAATAACTATGGTGGGTCAAGACAGACAATTAAATTTTTCAAAGAACAATATTTATTATAAGTTCTTAGATTAGAAAGACGGTAATTAATATTATCTAAGAATTTTAAAAAAGATTTAGACTGAAGATATGTAAAATTTGTGCTGTTGTATGAATCATCTCGCCAATATAAGCATCCTGAGCTTATACATCTGGAAATGAGAGGGGTTGACTAGAAGACCTCTAAAGAATTTTCCAGCTGGTACACATCATGACAGATTCAAAACCCCAAGGCAAATCCAAGTCATGGAATGACCACCATCTGAGCCACGTACTTTCCTGTGGTTAAAAAGCTGCCACAAGAGAAAAACTGCCTTAGTTTTTAATGGAAACGAAGATTGTTACTAGATTCCATGGTTTATGTGTGTACGTAGAAGCCATCTATGTTTTGCTCAAGTCTATTTCAGATTAAATTTATCTGGTCCTTTGTCTTGAAATTTTCTTTTATTCTCAAATTCTAGTCAACAGCAACTTCAGTGGAAGCCCAAACACACTCTGCTCCTTATCTCTATGATGCTGTCTTAAATAAATCATTAGTCAAATTGCAGAGATCTTTGTTATGGTACCTACTAATAAGGAAGTATGGAACAAGGGGACAAAACATGGCCTTAGGCCTATATTCATTTTCTGCTTTTGCCATTTACCAAATGGGTGACTTTGGAATATTGATGTGATTTTCTTGTTAAACATAATATATCTATCACACTGTGCTGCATAAATATTAAATTAAGGTATGAAAAGCACCTCACAGAGTATTAGCACATGATATATACAATAATTATGAGGTGTGTTTTTTGTTGTTGTTGTTTTGTTTTTTGTTTTTATGGTGTGTGTGTTTCAAATTATGCCACCATAGAAAGGTCTGTGATTAAGCTAGTGCCTTAGACTTGCAAGTCTGAAATATGAGAAATAGTGTTGGCTATAGATTTCCTAATAGTAGAGAAACATACAGGGAGTATTTTATCTAAGAAAATGTAGACAATTGGTATACATAATTATTACATGGCACAATAAACTAAATCATAGACATGCATGCAAAGACAAACGACAACAACACTTGCAATGTATATAGCTACATGTCCAGGTTAAGGAAGGAAGGGCACTATTTATTTCTGAATGACCATATAGTGGGATAGAAACCAATGGGCACTGTGGTTTCTATCTCAGCTTGACACTGAGTGCCTGTCAGCATCTCACTCATAGACCACCTTTCCCATCTCCCACATTAGCTCTTCCTTCTCTCACTCACATAATGAGGCCTGATCTTTACCCCTCCAAATTCTCCTGCATCTGTCTCTCTTCCCTTTCTTACCTCAAAGAATGAGGTGACCCTGACCCTGATGCTAATCTCCACCCACCATGTCTAACAGGATTTCTTCAGCCCTCAAACGTCCTAAAACATATTAGCATTTTGGCTAGTCTAAGTAGCCATCTTCTTAACCATAAATATTTATAATATGGGATCCTACATTGCCAGATAGTGAGTTTTTTACTAGAAGCAATTGTAAGGGTCCAGTTCTGATAGCTTGACTGTGTATGTATGATAAACAAGTTTCCTGGATATAAGAAAAAGCATGTGGCATTTTAGAGTTGGCAATCATGGTCTCCTTCATGAGAACATGAGAACCATCTAGGAGTTACAGGAAACTTGTAGAATCACAAAATATCAAATTAACAAGGCACAGTGCAATTTTTCTAATAGGAATATCAATATTTTTATCAAGCATGACAAGACAACCAACTTTCATGGCATAAAGATGCTCAAATTAAATAGATTATTTAGCAGATACAATTGTTTATGTGTGAATCAGTGTTTTCCACTTGATTTTTCTTTTAGCAAGTTTGTCCAAGACCATTGATTTCTCTTCTGCCAAGCTCTGTTAAAGAGAGAGGTGGGGGGTAGTAAATGTACATTTCCCACCAAAATCTGTATTGCTCAAATTGAAAAATACCCCAGAAGACAAGGAGAGGGCATAAATAGTCCAAGTAGATCAGGTCAAACTCCCACCCAGAAAATAAATGAAAAATAAACTATGTCAGCAAGAGAAAGGAAGGAGAAACTGTGGAAAAATCAAATGGGGTGGAGGACTGTGTATAAGATGAGGAGCATTGTAATACTATTTTAAAAATATTCCAAATCCTTATCATGTACCTTCCCTCCTTAATCTTCGTTAGAGTCTCATAAGAACATTTGGAAGCCACACACACCATACCAGGGATAACAGAGATAGATGATGGTCATGATTACAGAATACCTTGTTGAGTCCCAAGAAAAGATGTCAGAGAAGATCATGAGGATAAGCAGGAGGGAAGCTTGAAAGCCTCTGCTAGCCATGTCTATTCTGCACTCATTTGCTCCCCCTTCAGCTAGATCTTACCAATAAATCAAAGTAGGAGACAAACCCAAGTCACGGAGAAGGAAAATAGTAGATAAATATTAAGCAATGACACAGTAGAATTAATTAGCCCAGAATATTAAAGCTGAGGAAATTAATGATTAAATGCTATGATCCTAATGGTTTCTTATCTGGACACTCCAAAGAAAGGCCATATATTGGATAAATAACTAAGCTATAATCTTCTATATTTGAATTAGAGGGATATTTGATTGGCATTTTAATTAATTGTTAAGTGGAGCCAGATGCCATCAATATTGGTGTCACCCAGCTTCCGTGTTTGAAAACATGCAAATACATCCGTCAAGCACAAGCACAGCTTTCTACTTACTTTCGAGTTGGTTGACCTCCAGGTAATAGTTTTCTAAGTTTTCGTTGACAGTGGGTATGTTTTTCAGCTTATTATAGGAGAGATCCAGCTCAAGCAGAGATGACACATTAAAAGAATTTCCAGGTATTCCACTATCGGCCAATTCATTATGAGATAAACGCAGATACTGCAGTCCCTTGAAACGCTTGAAATATTCATCAGGAATGTTGTTGATCTTATTGTTGTCTAAGTAGAGAGTTAGAAGAGATGTTGGGAGGTCAGAAGGCAGTTTGGTCATCTGATTGAAGCTCAAGTCGAGGTACTCGAGCGACTTAAGACCTTTAAAAGCACCTGCCATGCCACCTTCTTTCAGCTGATTGTGCTGAAGATGGATGAAGGTCAGGTTTACCAGTCCTTCAAAAGAGCCGAGATTTGTGATCTTGTTATGGGAAAGCTGCAGGTCCTCCAGAGACTTGGGAAGTGGGCCCACAGATTGTGTCAGGTTGTTGTAATTTATATGCAGCTTCTTCAGTTGTTTTAGTTTAGAGAAAATTTTCCCTTTTATCTTAGAATTTTCTAGATGGTTATGATCCAGAATGAGCCACTGTAGATCGGTTACATTTTCAAAAGCCTTTTCATCAATGTGGTCAATCTGGTTATGCCTCAGATAAAGGTACTTGATTCCAGGAGGCACCATTGGCACACTCTTCAATTTCAGCTCATCGCAGTACATGGCCGAGGGATAGCTTGCAGGGCAGTTACATTCTGGGGCGCAGTTTGGAGATGACTGCCCATATATTGGTAGTGGAAAATCGTAATATTCATAGTAATAATGGCTGCTGGCGCCACTGATTAGTGCCAATAGCAGAGTAAATGCACCGAGATTCATTTTTGACGAATGCTTTGAATCCTAAGTGGAAACACATTATAAAATAGTATATGTTCAGTGAAAGCATATTCGACTTACAATGTTAAATTCATTAGAAAATGTGTATTATATTGTTTTGTGTTTTTTTTAATGCATCTAAAGATGTATTTTTAATTTTTATTTAAGCATGAGGTTTAAGATGTATGTGTACCACTTGTGAGGTGGTGAACAGTTTAGGGTTAGATTGCATACACATGCGCCCCCTACTGGGAAAGCCAGGCCTAACCTATCCAGACAATCTCTCCAGTTCCTTCCTTAATTCAATGATTTTCTGTAAGAGGTGTCTGGGTAGTGCCCATTGACCACCATGCTAAAACACTACCTCAGAACATCCTTCAAAACCACAAAAAATGAAAATGAGGAGACAATTGTAAACTGCACCTTTTACCCTAGCATTCAACATCATTAAAACTGTCTCATTAAGAAGACCCTTACTGGGAACATGAGCAATCTGTGGTTTTGCTTGAAGGAAAGCTGTTCTTAACTTGTGTGGCCAGAGATGGAGGGTGTCAGGAGGGAGGGATGTGGGAGAGGGGAGTACATTCCTTTATCAATGTCTGGTTATTGTTGTTGGTTCGGAGGGGAGGTAACAGAATTCTTGGTGAAGTGTGCATGGATATTATTTCAACTTTTGTTTAGCATTCCATACTTTCAGGCACATTACAGCACTGTGTTCTGAAATTAATATTTAGTATATAAGTTTTAGTAAAAAGTAATGTTTATTAATCAGAGAGATGTCACAAATTCTAAAGACTTTTTAAACCTAGAAAGAGATCCAACTGAATAGAAAAATGATATTCTTTTCCAAGTTTTGAATTAAAGTTTTCCTTTCTGTCAATGACTCACAAGTTCTCTACCTTCTTCATGCCAAAATTTAAGAAGGCATGGTTCACTTACTTGGCTAGTAGTGCTCTTACAGAGTGGAAGTGGGACAGACCTGGGCACTGAGCAAAGTCTGTATTTTACAGTGGCATTGGGAGCCACGGAAGTATGGATAAAATTGAGAATGTAAATTAAAAACAAATTGTAATAATGATCTATTAAGAATATGTTTCTAAGGTCAGGCTCAATAAAGTATATTTTAATTGTTTGGAGAGTACAAGGTCAGAAATTTAGATAAAAGACAATAGCATATCAGAGTTGACCTTTCCTAGAGTGAAAGCTATGGCTGGAGGAGAAATTGATAACTCTGAGAGGGAAATCCTCAATGTGAAGGAGAACCTACATGCCATAAGGTCCTTCTTCCTGTGAGAAGTATGGGGTAAACTTTTGGATCAGGGGAGTATGGGATAAGTAGGATTTTTTAGTATTAGGAAGTTTAAACACCTTTGCTTTAATTTGAAATTACAAGGCACTATATTTTAGCAGATGAAACACTAAAAAAGGTGTTAGAAACAGTAAAACTAACCAATGTATTTTGTAACTATATTTTTAACTAGCTTATTCCCCAAGATAATGATGGAGTCATTTAATTTAGTTGACAAGGCTTGGCAATGAGCACAATTAATATTGCAATATAAGGTATAGTATGTTAATGTTGTAAAGATTTGTCTGGCTTTATTAATAAGCTTTAAGTTTATTTAAGTATATACTAAAATAGACATGGTAACTATAATGTATTAAATAGTAGTGAAAAACATGCCTTCATATTTTTTGGCAGAATGAATCCAAAGAGTGTTTGTAGCTATATAAGGACTCCACTATGAAGCAAAAGTGCACTTTATTTACTTTCCTCTAATTTTTTTCAAATTCCTGTGGTTATGGAGGAAATGTTTTTTTTTAAATAAATGTTTCCTAGAATTTCTTCAAAAAATATCAATTTTAAAACATACATCCAAAAAACAAATCTTGAGAATTAACAAAATAGAAATAAGTAATCCAAAAGAGCCTTCCTTAATCCTTAAACTCACATTTTATAACAACATAAAACATTTATGGCAAATTGTAACAAACTATAGCAATATGTTTGTGGCAAAAATATTTTTAATACTGCTTAAAATGACCTTTTTTGCTGCAAAATTCATTGTAAAAATGCTAACATACATCACTCATTAACATAAAATGACAAATATTTTCATTGCCAAACATTTTTACTGTCTAGTTTAAATATTTTCTCATTCCAATCCAGAAACTTTTTATAACTTCCTTTATCAAGCAACACAGCACATATTGTAAAAACTTTATCTTAAATCCATAAGTCATGGAAAACATATTAAGAAAAGTGTGAGAGTAAATGCTCAAAAGTATGGATTTGCTGTTGAATAGCAATTGGCAAAGTTGCTCTAGAACTTTTTTCTGTTCCTATTACAATAAACACTGTCCCAAACAGTCAGCATCCCCAGTGCTATAGTTAAAACAGCACTTACCTTACTGTCTTGACTCTGCTTTCGTTAATTCTTAAAGCAGATGCAGTATGGACAAGAATCCACTAATATATGCTGTAAACTCTGTCAGGACGGGACTGGCTGCCAGATTCCTAGTGATACAAGAGCTGGAGGGGGGAGACCCAGCCCAGTCACGCCAGTCTCTGAATGGAGTTATGTCATTGTGGGATCTTGTGGTGTGGCATGTAAATGCTCTGCTCTCTAACGAAGTGCAAGTGGACTGGTGAGGAAGGACAGCCTAGTACATTCCCTATGGAATGAGAGAGCGATACATGCTTAACTAGCCCAAATGTCACAGCTTTTAACCAAAATATGAGTCCTGCTGCAAGGGAGGCAACTAGAGCGAAAACATTTTTATTACAAAGCTCTTTACTTCTGTACACTGTGGCAAAAATTAAATGTCATTCTCTCAGCCAGCTGTCATGTTCACCTAACGGTCTCATAAAACATAAACAGAATAATTTCAGGAAAATGCAAATGGACAGACTCAGAGGAATTGAATTCATTTTGCCTATTATTCCTGAAATCTATATTGATTTATTAGTACTAACAATTTTTTGGCCAGGAGAGTAACTTACATTAGTTTCTGAAATATAAAAATACTTTATTTACAGCCTGATACAAATGATAGGTATCAGCCTTTCCAGCTTCTATTATAATATGAAGGGGGCATGCTGTATGCTTTTCAGGTCTGGAACCAATCAGCAATGTTCTGCCTGTTTCTCATTTTGTGGATTTAATTTAGGAATTCATCCAAAATCTTACTTAGGGATAGTATTCTATAGCTTACTGCCAAAAAACATAAAAGAGCATAAAAAATGTATGCTAAAATATCACAGAGCAATGATCTTTCCCTCTGTCATTGCATGCTAGGGATATACTTTTCAAAACTAAAAATTATGCAACATTGTAATCTCCCAAAGGCCTGGTTTGATATATATTTTGTTGTCAGTTTGTGATGCATGCTTCTAGATCTACTCATTTGCTTGTCTATTTCATTTTGTGGTTGTATCAGCTCTATTTATAGGAGTGTTTTCCTCTGAAATTTTCATTTATTCAGGTTTATAAGAACTCCTAGAAATATATATTTTAATATAAGTTGCCACATTGTAAGAATTTTCCCTTTAAAATAATTTAAATATGTCACTTTTTAACTATGAAACCTATGAAAAGCGATTTAATTTTCATTACCACTAATGTTTTTGCTTAAAAAAGTAATATTGGAGTATATGCCTTATTTTTGTCATAGAATCATTAGGGAAAAAAAGCAACAATTTTCTTAAAAATAAATAGAACAGTGAAGTGATTCATAGTATATTTTATTATTTTATTAGGAAAGTTATAGAAAGACATTAGTTTTATAATATAGAAAATGAATAAAACAAGAAACAATACAAAACAATCACACACTTAAGAGGCTCAGTTTAAGAGGATAGTTAAAACAATTCTAAACATTATCTTTGAGTTTGTCAAATTATATAATCTGAATTTTTCTTTTAAAAATTCTAGCTAATTTTACCTAGGACTTTAAAGAACAGTAACTTTAAAAGTTTAAGCATTAAAATTCACATAAGAATTATTATCACATTTTTAGTAGTGGCAATGGAGACTCAGAAATTCTAAATAATTTGCTAAAAGTCACCTAATAAGTAAATGGAAAAATAAAATTATAATTTTCAGTTGTTGGGAGGAGGGTAACAGGACAGAGAAGAGACAGGTAGTTAATATAATCAGTCTGAAATAATTTATAGGCAATATTAATGTCAGTTGAGAAAATGCTGAAATATTAACTAGGAAATAGTTTTTAAGTGGCAAAAATTAATTAAGCAGTAATTATTTAAATTCCTTTTTATTTAAATTTTAACTGACTTTTTAGAGAGAAAGGGAAAGGGAGAGAGAAACATGGATGTGAGAGTGAAACATTGATCTGCTGCCTCCTGCACACCCCCTAAATGGGATCAAGCACAAAACCTGGGCATATGCCCTCACTGAGAATTGAATTGGTAACCTTTCGCTGCATGGGACAACACTCAACCAAATAAGGATCACACAGTCCAGGGCTACTTTCTTTATGTGCATATCACACACACACACACACACACACACACACACACACACACACACGCACAGGCACACAACCACTTCTACATTTGAAACCTCTGGGTGACATATGAGCTTTCCCTCCTGATACATGGAGATTCAGGTCATTTGTGGTATTGAAAGGGAAAGGTTTTGTCAATAACATGTTTAAATGAGTGAGTTGCTCCTTTAGCTCACCGATAGATTCCCTTTGCTACCGGAGACCAGCAGGGATGATGAGCACCATCAGGACGAGTTTGCCCACCTCATTCTGAGTCCTACCCTGGACTTGTCTGAACACCCTGGCCCATCACAACGCGACTGTTTCATTTGTCAGAACCATTTTGATGCAGATTCTTCCTGTTCCAGGCTAGCTTGTGAATTCTGAAAAGTCAGTCCTGGAATAGAAAACAGTAGGACCCAGATTTTGTGGAAAGATAGATACAGATTAGTAACTTTCTGAAGCAATCTGCCAGGAGTAAAACGAAAATAAAATAT